AGCTTGTAATGCCCCCCCACGAAGTGGGGGTATTGCCTGGTGTCGTATGAAAACCCTGGCACTGGGGAGAACACCACGCGTTCGGGTAAAATGATTGTTGTTGTTGTTGTTGCTGTTGCGATTTCAACATAAAAACATCAAAAACCCAATGGTTTTTCAAAAAAAAATGTCCAAATTTCATCCCGCGCGCGCTGTCCGACTCCCACAAAACCAATGGTTTTTCAACATTTATGTTACATGAGCTCGCGCGAGCTACTTTTTCTTGTTCTAACATAATCAAATTTCAATACTCCCTTGCAAAAAAAAGTAAAGTGGACATTCGCGCGCGCAAGACCAACAAAAAACACGACGATCTCAGGAACTTGCCCCAAAAATGTGACCAACTCCGCTCTCTCTGTCTCTCTCTCTGTCTGCTCTCTGTCTCTCTCTCTGTCTGTCTGTGTCATGTATTGTATGTCACAATTGCAGGATGCTGGGCACACGCGCGCCCCGAATAAGTGACCAAGTTCTGTGGGTGTGTACCCCACGCCAGTGTAGTAGCCACGGTCGTCCGCACGCCACGAAGTGAAGTGTCCCAACGTCATAGGGCGGGAAGCTGGGTTTGGGTGGTCGCGAAGAGTCGTTTGGATATTTGGTAGAGCTTGAACTGCCCCCCCACGAAGTGGGGGTATTGTCCCGCGTCGCATGAAAACCCTGGCACTGGTGAGAACACTGAGCGTTCGGGTAAAATGATTGTTGTTGTTGTTGTTGTTGTTGTTGTTGTTGTTGTTGTTGTTGTTGTTGTTGTTGAATGTTGAATGTTGAATGTTAATTATTGAATTATTATTGTTGGACACCTGAAAGGCGCTTTGGCGCTTTCGCCGGGGAGCCGGCTACTTTTTTATTGAAAATGAGGCTCACGCTCGAGCGGTTTGGGGGACCGCCAAAACTGGCCCCCAAACAACAACAATGCTCCCGCTCGAGACTTCTTCGTTTTTTACTCATGGCTGGTGTTCTTGCTCGCCGCCGAAAGCCGCCGTCCTAACAAAACCAGCGCTCCCGCTCGAGACTTCCTCCCGTTTTACCTTGGACTGGCGCGCTAGTCTTTCTCCATCGGCGCCGCCCCCAGTAAGTTTTACTCAAGGCGGTGCTACTCCTCGCCGCCGAAAGCCGCCGCCCCGACAAAACCAGCGCTCCCGCCCGAGACTTCCTTCCGTTTGACGCTGGGTTGGCGCCCGACTCTCTTTTAGATTGGCGCCGCACCCAGCAAGAACAACGCTTACGCTCGAGATTTCCTTTCTTTTTCCTCGGGGCGGTGCTGTTCCTCGCCGCCGACAGCCCCCGTCCCGACAAAACCACGGCTCCCGCTCGATGCTTCCTCTCTTCTTACTCAAGGCGGTGTTCCTCTCGCCGCCGAAAGCCGCCGTCCCAACAAAACCAGCGTTCCCGCTCGAGACTTCGTTTTGTTTTGCGCAGGACTAGCGCCCTACTCTCTTCAGCATTGGCGCCGCTCCCAGCAACAACAGCAGCCCTGCTCGAGACTTCCTCCCTTTCTATTCGGGGAAAGGTCGTTGCCTTACCGCCGACAGCCCCCATCCCCACCAAGGCAATCCTGTCTTTCGATACTTCCTTGTGATTTACCCTTCGCTGGGGTTCCACTGGCGGTCTCGCATCGGCGCAGCACGGCGTGGGCATGTGTTCTCGAGGCGGGATATGTTGAAATTCCTCGGAGGAGATGTTTGCAAGTCCTCATTGGCCGGATATCTGAGAATGGGAACAACAGACCCCGCTATAGAACAAGAGTCCCCCATTACGTGGATGGTTACCATGATGGTCGCATGCTTCGTGTGGAAACATCGCGCATGAGGGTATTATGAGTGTTGTTGTTGTGGTTGTTGTTGGTGGTGGTGGTGTTGTTGTTGACTATTGTTGAATATTCATTTCCAGTGAATAATTATTATTGATGTCGGGTACACGCCGGTCGTTGAAAGTAGGTATTTCTGGACTCCCAGATCCCAATCTGTTCCAAGCGCCTTCCTACCTCAAGAGCCGAGGTGCTTCGGCCGCGTTTTGCTACTGTCTGGGAGGGCCTGAGCCCAACCTACCTTGTCCGCCTCCCTGCTTCCTGTTCGTACCTACTTCTTCGGACCGACGTGTAATGGTTCCGCGCGCTAGGTCCTCTAGGTCCTTGGCGCACCAGATCCTGCTGAGCAACACCTGGAGCAAAAATGGGGGGGGGTAATATATATATATATATATATATATCTATATCTATATATATATATATATATATATATATATATATATATATGTATACGCACGGCACATACCAGGGGTCATCCTCGACGAAACGGCAACGCCGGCTACATGCTGTCTGCAATCCAGGCCCCTGCGCGAGCGCCGGCTTGCGTGTAAGCTGCGGGCCCTGGGAGGCCCGACGGCACCGACAACGAACGGCTACCGCTCGGATGCTTCCTCACAATGGTCCAGGAGGGGAAAAAAACACAGACACAAATAGCCGTCGCCTCCCCAGAGAATATGGGCAAATATGGGAAGTGGGGGGGCAGACAAGAACCCAGAACATATGGGAAACTATGGGGAATCCTTTTATTTGTGCGTATTTGTTCGTGGTGTGTCTCAGGTCCCCTTCAAACGCACTTCCGACCGACGTGTACTTCCTCACAGGGTACCACGAAACGCCCTTGCCAGCGAGGCCCCCGAACTTGGGAAGGGCCCTCTCTCGCTCAAGACTTCCTCGAAATTCAGTCGAGTTGGCGGAGGCCCAGCCACGACGACCAGGGCTCCTGCTCGAGACTTCCTCACGATTTACTCCGAGAACCCCTGGCCAGGAGAGGCCCCCGAACTCAGGAACGGCCTCTCGCTCGAAACTATCTTGTGATTTAGTGAAAGTGGTGGAGGCCCAACTGCGACGACAAGGGCTCTCGTTCGATACTTCCTCAATATGTATTCGCAAAGGCCCTTTGCCAGGGAGGCCCCCGAACGCAAGAGTGGCGCTCTCGCTCGAGACTTTCTCGTACTTCAGGCAAGTTGGTGGAGGCCCAGACACGGCGACAAGGTTTCCCGTTCGTTATTTCTCCAGATGTATTCCGAGAGCATGTGGCCAGAGAGGCCCCCGAACTCAGGAACGGCGTTCTCGTTCGAGAGTTTCTCGCACTTCAGTCAGTGGCCGACAAGGAAGTTATTCCTCCCGAAAGGGTGTACAATCGAAGACGAAGTGGGCGGGTATCGAGGGTGGAGGTATACAGAATGCAAGACGCGCGTGCCAGTCAGAGCGAACATTATTAACATGATTGTTGTTGTTGCTGTTGAGTGCGCAGTTCTGAAAAATGATTATTGTTGACCCCCCCTCGCCTGGTGCACATTGTATTGCACAGGCCTGACGGCCGGTGCCGCCGACCCTGAAGAGGACCACGACGTCGGCGACGAAGTGGGCGGAGACGGAGGCCGTGGAAGATGATGATGATGATGATGATGAGGAGGAGGAGGAGGCGAGGAGGAGGGGGAGGAGGAGGAGGAGGAGGAGGAGGAGGAGTGGGCCGTGGAAGATGATGATGATGATGATGATGATGATGATGATGATGATGATGATGATGATGATGATGATGATGATGATGATGATGATATGATGAGGAGAGAGGAGGAGGAGGAGGAGGAGGGGAGGGAGGAGGAGGAGGAGGAGGAGGAGGAGGAGGGAGGAGGAGGAGGAGGTGCACACTGTATTTTTCAAACTGGCGTGCCCCTCCTGGGGCTCGCACCCTGGCCTGTTCTGGGGCGCTGGAGGCTCGGAGAGCAGCTCACGCGGGAGGCGCTGGGGATCCGCGGGAGGGACGCCGTGGACTTCGGGTAATTTGGGAATTCGGGTCCTGGGCCCCTTGCTGTTCAATCCTGGGGGCAGGACTGAAGGCTACAAGGGACCTGAGGGCAATCCGACTCGTTCCTCGCCGCACGGTGGGGGATATTCCGCAACGGAACACGTATCCCGAACCCGGCCACAGGAGCCATCTGGCAGGTTGCGCACCGCTTTGTTTGAGGCGTGCGTGCGCCCTTGGCTAACATGCTGGTGCACCTCGTTGCGGGAACGGCCTTGCCACCGTAGTGGAAAACAACCTCATCCGCGGAGGTCGACAGAGCACCGTGGACAAGGGTAAGGATAATGTTTCCCCACGCAGACGCGGGGGCAGTCGTCCGGCGATGCGTTTCCCGTAATTCCGATTTCTGGGGCACGCGAAGACACATTGAAAAGTGGGGGCGATCGGCCCGTGTTGCGATTCCAATAATTCGCAGGCCTTCGGGAGATGAGGGGTCCAGAACGGGCCTTGCCTTTGAGGATGGACGGACTTGTCATCTCTTTCTCGGCGGAAGGCGGGGGAAGGTCGGTGGAAGTAGAACGCGGCTGCCTCCGTCCGCCGGCGGAAGGCTGGCGGAAGCCAGGGGAAGGACTGCGGAAGTAAAACGTGCGCCCCTAAGAGAGATGAACCTGCTTTTGGGTTGAGGGTGTCCGACATCGCCCTTATGGGTTGGCCCTCGGCGTGGCGCAGGCGGCCACCCGCTGTGCTTAAGTCGGGCCTGTCCCTCTAAACAATCGAAAGATCGTCCGGGGACGACTCTTCTAGCATTGTTTTGATTTTGTTTGGATGGCTCGTCATTTCTCGTCCAAGATCTGCCTGCAGTCAGCGAGCGAAGAACGGTATAACATAAACTTTTTCGCCGTCGGGGACACCTGCCCCTGGGCGGCTGGAAAGTTTATACCCCTACGGTGCCACCGTGAGGGTATAAACTTTCCAGCCGCCCAGGGGCAGGTGCCCCCGACGGCGAAAACAAATATGTTATACCGTTCTTCGCCCGTTAATGGCGGAGGAGGAGGAGGAGGAGGAGGAGGAGGAGGAGGAGGAGGAGGAGGAGGAGGAGGAGGAGGAGGAGGAGGAGGAGGAGGACACGCCCGACCTGACGCTGGGCGGGCGCTCCTCGCCGCGCGCCCGAAGCCCCGACGCGCCCCGCAGGTGCAGTGGGCCGTCCGGGCCGGGCTGCCGGAGCCGCCGCTGCGGGCCCTGCCCGGCCTGGGCACGCGCGGTGCGGGGCCCTCGGCGGGAGGCCCTCGGCCGGAGGCCCTCGGCGGGAGGCCCTCGGAGGAGGAGGACGAGGCGGAGGAGGAGGAGGAGGAGGAGGAGGAGGCGGAGGCGGAGGAGGAGGAGCAGGCGGAGGCGGAGGAGGAGGAGGAGGCGGAGGAGGAGGCGGAGGAGGCGGAGGAGGAGGAGGCGGAGGCGGAGGAGGAGGCGGAGGAGGAGGAGGAGGAGGCGAAGGAGGCTCTGGAGACTCTGGATGACGGCGAGGTGTGCCGAGAACGATGCACCAGGCCAAAAAGCAATACTCATAATCCCGTCGAACGCTCAACGCACGACTCAAGCGAAAATAGGAACAGGCCTCTTGAAACCATTACCGACTTTCTCTCCAGAAGGGCCCCGCCCCTGGATGAGGTACCTTCTCTTGAAGTGCCTCGCAGACCCCAGGGGCGGTCTCCCCAAGCACGGTTTGGAAATCAAAAGCGCCCTAGACACACATCTGGCGGCGCATTCAAAACACCAAACCATTGGACCAGTGCGCCATAGCTTATGGGACGGGTGCGCTTCTCGCACCCCTTTGGGATCCCCAAGACACGGAAGGCGCGCGAGGCCTCCACGACGAGCACGACTATCTCCGCACCTCCCGCACACCCATCGTCCCTTAAACCTGTGAATTACATGGCCTCCATCCTCGCTTAGGACGACATGAGGCCCGCGCGCGGGTCTTCCTTCACTCACTTGCTGGACGTCCTTCCAGCCGCCTTTTTGACACAGCCGCAGAATGCGCAGCACACATTTCAAAGTCAAAGGTGCAGCCGCCTCGCGCATCTTCCGCAACTTCGAGGAGGAGGAGGAGGAGGCCCTGTCTGGCCTGGTCACGCGCGGTGCGGGGCCCTCGGCTGGAGGCCCTCGGCCGGAGGCCCTCTGAGAACATCGCTCGGAGGAGGAGAACCCGTTTTCCCCTCTTCTGGGCCTCCTGGGTGGCCCTCGTCGCCACCGCTGGCTCCGCCTCGAGATTCTGGTCAGAACGGAACGCACCCCGGGGGAGGTCCGGGGAGTAGCGGTATCGGCACCTTTGATTTCCCCAATCTCGGACTCGCGCCGCCTCCGTCGCCGCTGCCGTCGCCGGCGCCATGTGAGGGAGAACTACGCCGACCAGCATAGTTGGCGTTTGCTCAGCGGCCCTGGGCGTTGACTAGACAGCCCTGTCCTGTTCGATGCCTTCTTTCGGGCGCGTTGGCTAAACAGCTTCGCTTGTCGGGGAGCTTACTATGATGGTGTGCTTTCTGCTCTCTACTCGCAGCCGCCAGCGGCGGTGGCGGCTGCGGCGTCGTCGTCGTCGTCGCCGGTGTCATCGCGGTCGTCGTTGTCGTCGTCGTCGTCGCTGCCGATGCCGCCGTTGTTCTTTGAAGAAAAGTGATTGTTGATCCCCCTGCCTCGTGCCCATTTTTTAATGTTTACATTTATGTATGCATGTATGTATGGATGTATGCATGCATGAATGCATGCATGCATGTATGTATGCATGTATGTATGTATGTATGTATGTATGTGTGTATGTATGTATGTATGTATGCATGCATGCATGCATGGATGTATGTTGGTATGTATGTATGTATGTATGTATGTATGTATGTATGTATGTATGTATGTATGTAATGCATGTATACAGGCATGTGTGTATGCATGCATGTATGTATGTATGCATGTATGTATGTATGTATGTATGTATATATGTATGCACGTACACACGTATGAATGTATGCATGTATGTTTGTTTGTATGTATGTATGTAAGTATATATATATCAATGTATTTGTGTATATATATATATGAATGCATGTATGTATGCATGCATGCATGCATGTATGTATGTATGTATGTATGTGCGTAGGAATGCATGCACGTATGTATGTATGTATGTATGTATGCATGCATGTATGTATGTATGTATGTATATGTGTGTATGTATGTATGTATGTATGTATGTATGTATGTATGTATGTGTGTATGTATGTATGTATGTATGTATGTATGTATGTATGTATGTCTGTATGCATGTATGTATGCATGCATGTGTGTGTATGTATGCATGCAAGCATGCATGCATGTATGTATGTACGTATGTATGTATGTATGTATGTATGTATATATATATATGCATGCATGCATGCATGCATGCATGCATGCATGCATGCATGCATGTATGTATGTATGTAATGTATGTATGTATGTATGTATGTATGTATGTATGTATGTATGTATGTATGTATGTATGTATGTATGTATGTATGTATGTATGTATGTATGTATGTATGTATGATGTATGTATGTATGTATGTATGTATGTATGTATGTATGCATGCATGCATGCATGCATGCATGCATGCATGCATGCATGTATGTATGTATGTATGTATGTAGGTTAGGTAGGTAGTAGGTGGTAGGTATAGGTAGTAGGGTGGGTAGTAGGTAGGTAGGTTAGGTAGGTATATATTTATGTAATATGTATATATGAATATGAAAGAGCGTGTCCTACTGCTGCTGGCGGAAAAACCGGGGGGGGGGGTAACTGGGGTTCCCAACCCGTGTCCCTCCCCCCTCGAAACCGGGGGGGGGGCACTACTGGTTCGAACCCCCCACCCACCCCCAGTCCATCATGAAACGGGGGGGTTCACTACCGGTTCGACCCCCCCCCCCTCGAAAACCGGGGGGGGTCGGTACCGGTTCGACCCCCCCCCAAACCGGGGGTGGTCTCTACCGGTTCGATGCCCCCCCCTCCCTCCACCCCCTCGCCGCCGGCCCGCTCCTCGGGACAGTTGGAGAATGCTGGGGATGTTGGGACAGTGGTGGGACCGGTGGTGGTGGGGACAGTGGTGGTGGGGACAGTGGTGCGGGGACAGTGGGACAGTGGTGCGGACAGTGGTGGGGACGGTGGTGGTGGGGACAGTGGTGAGGGGACAGCGGGACAGTGGTGGGGACAGTGGGGCAGTGGTGGGGACGGTAGTGGTGGGGACAGTGGTGAAGGCGGTGGTGAGGACAGTGGCGGGACAGTAGTACAGTGGGGAGAGTGGTGGCGACAGTGGGGACAGTGGGACAGAGATGGGGACAGTGGGGACGGTGGGACAGCACAGTGGGACAGCGGCGGGGACAGTGGGACAGTGGTGGGAACAGTGGGGACAGCGGGACAGTGGTGGGGACCGTGGGGAAAGTGGGGAGAATGGGACCGTGGTGGGACAATGGTGGGGAGAGTGGGGACAGTGAGACACTGGTGGGGGAACTGGTGGGGACAGCGGGGACAATGGTGGGAACAGTGGGGATAGTTGGACTAGTGGTGGGGACGGTGGTGGTGGGGACAGTGGTGTGGGGACAGTGGGAGTGTGGTGGAAACAGTGGGACAGTGGAGGGTACAGTGGTGGTGGCGACAGTGGTGAGGGCGGTGGCGAGGACGGCGGTGGGATAATGGGACAGAGGTGCAGTAGGGACTGGCGGGGACAGTGGGGACAGTGGTGGGAACAGTGGGACAGCTCAGTGGGACAGCGGTGGGGACATTGGGACAGTGGGACAGTGGGGACAGTGGGACAGTGGGGACAGTGGGACAGTGGTTGGGGCTGTGGAGAAAGTGGGGAGAGTGGAACAGTGGTGGGAACAGTGGTGGGGACACTGGGGACAGTGCGACAGTGGTGGGGGCACTGGTGAGGACAGTGGTGACGGTGGTGGGAACAGTGGGGACAGTGGTGGTGAGGACAGTGGTGCTGGGGACAGCAGTGGGGGATGTGGTGCGGACGGTGGTGGAGGGCGGGGGGTGGGTAGGGGTTCGAAGCCGTAGTGACCCCCGCCGGGTTCTCGCGAGGGGGGAGGGGTTCGGACCTGGTAGTGACCCCTCCCCCGGTTTTCCGAGAGGGGGGGGGTTGAAACCGGTTAGTGACGTCTTTGGGTTTTTCGAGTTGGGGGGGGGGTTTCGAAACCGGTAGTGGCCCCCCCCGGTTTTTTCCTGAGGGGGTGGTGGGTCGAAACCGGTAGGTGACGACCTCTGTGGGTTTTTCTT